GTGTTTGATTAGTGAATGTCTTTTATCTCTTGGTACTCTCACTAGCTGTTTTTGGGTCTATGCATATATTTTGAATTGCATTTTTTGCTCTCTCAGGTCTACAGTATGTCTCCTCTCAGTCTTGTGCAAATTATCCTTCACAGTTGTCAAGAAATTATATATACAAGGCACAATGTAAATATATTCTTACTTAAAAATTAATATAAAATATATTTACAATTCAGCTAGCTTGCATTTGATCAACTTTGCAGCTCCTTATGATTCAGCTGCTTACGATGAGCTTTGTGTAGACTGCTTTGGATAAGCTCGTGAATAAATGTGAGTATAAATGTACACGGTGAAACTTGCATGTAAAACCCCTACAACGACACCAAACACTAATCCAGAGCAAGACCCCGAAACTCCGTTTTCAGCTCCAGCAACTGCACCGAGAAGTGCTCCGAACGCACCCATCAGTATCATTACGAACGGTTTGAAGTCCATGGTGATTTTTGGCATGTCTTCCGAAGGTCTATGTTTGGGAGTCTCCACAGATTCTTTCTTCTGTGAATCTCCTTTGTCTTCGTTGTCTGTAAAAGAAAATAAGAATAGATCAGTGCTTAAGCAGCCTGAATGTGAGAGCAGCTGTGGCTTTTGTGGAATCAAACTCACAGTTAGGAGGACTGTCCAGACTTCCACGTCTCTTCCTGAGCTCAGTCGCACCAGATGCTTCGTGTGTCTTCTGTTGAATCAGTTCATAGTAAGCTTGTGGTATGAAGAAATCACCACGGTTTTCCTGCACCAGGTCGTCTATCTTCTTAAGAAGTGCATGAATCTGAGTGGGAGATTCACAAGTGCTTTTCTGAACAACATGGAAACGTCTTCCACACTTTTCCAGGATTTTCTCTGCGCTGTCAATGTGTTTTTGGATTGTTAGTTCGTCCACTCCATCATCACAAGCAAACAGCACGATGGTGTGTTTCCAGACGCGCTCTGACAGTAACCTCATGTGCATCTCTGATGCATTCATTTCAGGTTCTTCAGAGAGAGCTTTCACTGGTATGACCAGAAGCAGAGCGTGAGGTCCTGGAGGACAAAGTGACACGCTTCTGACAATTTCTTCTTTTATCCTGTCTGGTCTGAGTCTGTCCCATCCTGGTGCTTCCACAACACTGATCTTCCGTCCTGCTTCTTCACTCTGATGTAAAGTACAGAGACCAACTTCCACTCCTGTCAGATTCTCACAGTTTAGGACTGATTTGATCACTTTATTCTCTCCAGCATTTCCTAAGATCACAATTCTGAGCTCCAAACCTCCTTTAAAGAGCAAATGGGAATCAAATGAATATTATTGCATGATGTTTTTTATTAATCAAAAATGTTTCATCGTTGGAAACCACACACAGATAAATTGACTCACCTTGAGGAGATTTAGTAGCCATGATCGCAGTATATGTGCAGCTGCTTCACAACATGCTCTTCATGGAAACTGATAACAAGAAAACACACAGTTGGTTCTGCTGTGCTACAGGTTTCACTTGATACTAACAGCCAGTTTATATTGCAGTTCTACAACCTTTAAGCAACGCCTCATCACAGAAGATGGAGCAATAATTGTGTAGCACTTATGAATGTTCATTTGTGGTATGACTTCTCCAGTGAAAAGATGTGGGGAAGGTGAACGTCATAACAACTGCTCAGATAAATTTAACATGGCAAGTTAAATGTTATTAAATCTAA